AGAGATGAGGTCTCACCAAGGTGCCCAGGCGGGTCTCGAACCTGCGGGCTCAGGCAATCCGCTCACCTCGGCCTCCCAAGGCGCGGGATGACAGGCTGAGCCACCGGGCCCGGCGTGTCTATTTCTTCTGATGTTTACCTCCAGGTATCTAAATACCATGCCTTGGTTCTCCCACTTTCGACAGCCATTGGCTGTCTGCTGTGAAACTCCTCTTATGCCAGATCCCCAGTGAGATGGACGTGTTCTTTCCCTCTCCTTTTCTTTTCTTTTTTTAGTTGAGAAAATACAGTTTACTTGAAAGTAGGTTGGAGAGAGAAGACTCATCTCCCCAAGGTGGGAGAGGAGGCCAAAGCCAAGGAGCCTGGTGAAAGCCGTCGCCCCAGGAGCACGTGACCACCTCAGAGTTTAGCCAGCAGCCGCTCTCCCTCTCGTTTTCTCCATACGGTTATGTCACCGTTTGTGATGAAATATTCAGTAGTTTGACTCCAGGCTACCTGGGCAACCCGTAGGTGTGCTTTGGCATTTTTGTTCCTCTTGAAGAAGGAATGAGGCCACTTTTACTTTTAACAGGAGTCATTTCCTCTCTCTCTCTTCCTCACTAACTGCAGGGATGGGGCAGAATGGGACAAAGACAGCAGTACTGAAATAGGGAAGTTGATCAATTTGCATTTGGAATACTTTTTACTTAGACTTTTTTTCAAGTTCTTTTTTTTTTTTTTCATTTGAATATATATATTTATTTAGAATGCAGCACTAATGGCATGATGATAAACTGTCATTCACAAATCTGTACCAAGAAGCACATAATCTTAAAACGTTTTTTTTCACAAGTGATTTAAGTATAGCATTATTATTATTTGGTAATACAGTCAAAGACGACATTTAGATTCTTCAGCTTTGGGGCATTTAGTAACTTCAACATGATTGTCTAGTCAGGCAGAGGAAAGAAATTCAAAAGCTGTTTCTTTTTCTTCTGCCAGTTCCTTCGCAGTAAGATCCATTTTCTCGCGTGAGAAATCATTAATAGGGAGACCTTCAACATACTTTCAGGTCTTATTCTTGATGGTAACAGGGAATGAGTAGAGCAGATCATCAGGAATCCCATAGGAATTGCCATCAGAGATAACGCCCATGGACACAAACTCTCCCTCTGGGGTTCCAAACCAGATGTTTCTAACGTGGTCAGCGATGGCTTTTGCTGCAGACATTGCACTGGATAGTTTTCGAGCCTTGATAACATCAGCACCACGTTGCTGCACAGTCGTGATGAATTCTCCCTTGAGCCAGTTGTCATCCTTTATAGCTTCATAAACACCAACTTCCTTTCCTTGCAATGTCACCTTGGCATGGTTGACATCTGGATACTGAGTTGAGGAATGGTTTCCCCAGATAATGACATTCTTTACATCATCAGCAGTAACACCAAGTTTAAGAGCAATTTGAGCTTTAGCTCGGTTATGATCCAAACGAGTCAAGCAACTGAAGTTCTCCTTGGGGATGGATGGAGCTGACTTGGAGGCAGTCAGGCAGTTGGTATTGGCTGGGTTTCCCACAACAATAACCTTAACTGACTTTTTGGCATATTTCTCCAAAGGTGCACCCTGGATTTTGAAGATTTTCACATTTGCTTTCAGTAAATCTTTCCTCTCCATGCCTTCCCTTCTTGGCATGGAGCCCACCAGAATGGCCACATCCAGGTCTTTGAAGGCAATCTCTTCTTTATCTGTTGCAATAACATCTTTTAGGAGGGGAAGGGCACAGTCTTGCAGTTCCATTAGAACACCATCCAGGACACCCATCATGGGAGTGATATCCAACAACACAAGAATTATAGGCTGGTCTTTACCAAAGACAGATCCACTTCCAATACTGTATAGCAGTGAATATGCAATTTGACCAGCTGCTCCAGTCACAAGGACTCTGATTGGCTCAGACATGATGGGGAACTGCGCGGACAATTTCAGGACCTGGAAAATGAGCCTCAAAGACCTAGGTCACCTCTACCTCAAGTTCTTAGGTGGTTTAGATGACTTGGCCCTTACGTCATGTTTCTTTCCATCATCACTGCTTTCCTCTCCATCTGTATGGTAGTCATCCTCACCTTCTTTTGCAATTGTGGGAATTCTATTTGGAATGGACAAGTGTATTTTATATCCTGTTGTTGCATCCTGCAGTTTTTTTCATCTTGAAGAGGTCATCAATGATAAAGAATTTCTGGTTTGTGAAATATTATTCTCTACAGGGTGTTCTTCTAGGGAAATTTTCACTAGAAAGACAGCAGTACTGAAATAGGGAAGTTGATCACTCTGCATGTGTATTTGGACTGGCTCAGTGGATCCTGAAGAGATTTTTTTTGTTTGTTTTTTTTGTTTGTTTGTTTGTTTTTTCAGTTGGAGTCTCACTCTGTCGCCCAGACTGGAGTGCAGTGGCCACTCCCGGCCACCGCAGCCTCAACCTGCTGGGCTCCGGTGATCCTTCCGCCACCGCCTTCCAAGTAGCTGGAACTACAGGCATGCGCCACCATGCCCAGCTATTTTCTGATTTATTGTAGAGATGAGGTCTCGCCAAGTTCCCCAGGCGGGTCTCGAACCCGTGGGATCAGGCAATCCACTTACCTCAGCCTCCCAAAGCACGGGTTTACAGGCTGAGCCACCGAGCCTGGCTCCTATGAGATTTTTAGCTGCATCCTTTCTTATTGTAGAGTCTAACTGTACTTAATTTATGTATTTTTTTCTTTTTTCTATTTTGGTGTACTTAATTTACAGAAGGCAGACTTTCCTTAACATTCACTTAGATATTCATGTTGTGATATCCTTGTATTGAGGTCTATTATTATTTTCTTGTGAACTTACCTGTAAGACTTATCTATTTTTCAAATAATTGGTTTAGCTTATTATTACTCCTATAGCCCCATCACCACTTCCCTGAGTTGTTGGTTTTATAATGTTTCTCTTTATATAGTAAACCAAATGTATCAGTTTGGGAAAATTATGTAATTACAATATAAAAGTGGAAAGTATTTGGAAATTACTCTTTCGTTTGATGTTCATACTTTATGCCTTTTCAGATATATTTTTGCCATCATGGATTGGTTAGGAGATACGTTAGAAGGTGAAGTAGACCATTCTTTCTTTGACAGTGATTTGGAAGAAACAAGGAAATCTGAAAGTAACTCAGTTTTTAACAAGCAAAATGATGACCCTAAAGAGGGGAAAGATAAGGATACAGAAAATGTAAACTTGAAAATTGGAATACAAACAAAGGAGAATTATCTCACTGAGAAGGGAAATGAAAGAAAAGCGAAAATTTCCCTAGAAGAACACCCTGTAGAAAGTAACATTTCACAAACCAGAAATTCTTTATCATTGACGACCACTTCAAGATTGAAAAAATTGCGGGATGCCACAACAGGACATAAAATACACTTGTCCCTTCCAAATAGAATTCCCACAATTGCAAAAGAAGGTGAGGATGACTACCATACAGATGGAGAGGAAAGCAGTGATGATGGAAAGAAGCATGACGTAAGGGCCAAGTCATCTAAGCCACCTAAGAACTTGAAAAAAAGCCTAAGTAAAAAACATCCCAAAATTAGTTACTCTTCCGCGTCTTCTTTGTCTTCCTCATCTTTAAGTTCAGGTGCAGACTGTTCAGATGCAGGGTCTGATAACTGTGTGTCTGATTCACCTCCTTCATCAAATAAACATGTATCTGGTGTCACCCCCTTATCACCAAGACAGAAACGTAAGTCAGGAATAAAAACAACAGGTACGCAGCCTTCAAGTACTCACCCAAAATTTGGTGACTGCACTGAGGAATCTGAAGATACTGTGACAGATGTAACTCCTTTATCAACTCCGGACATCAGCCCTGTTCAGTCTTTTGAACTGGGTGCATCAAACGATCAAACAGTGAAAGTTAAAAAGCAAGAAAATGTGAGTCAAGAAGTATATAAAGATGTTGAAGATTTAAAAAATAATCCAGAATATTTTAAATCAGCTGGAAAAAGGAGAGAAAAACTTGGGCCCAGTCTTTCCTCAGAGTCTTCAGCATTGGATTCGAGCTTAGACCACAGATGTAAAGAAAAAGCTTTACATGACACAATGGACCTGAATCATCTTTTGAAAGGTAATTTTCTTTTCTTATAAAAACTTATATATTACATTTAAAAGTTTACTCAATAGCTTAAATATTAAATCCTACAAATTTGCATCGACTTTTCTAGTAGATACCTTTTATTGTTTGGGGTTATTGAGAATATGATAGCTTTACCAAATGTTCCATATTACCACAAAAATACTTGGAACATCATTTGTATTATCAGTTAAGATATATACTGTAAAGCCAGCCAACTAGGACTAGAAACTTCACACTCATTTTATTTTAGTGCCTTCTAAGCTCAAAATGCCTAAAGGAAACAGATGATTAAGATAAATAAGAGAAGTGGATCCAGATGTTTTCCCACTTCTGATGAGAGGCAGAGTATTTCAGTTTCTTTTTTGAGAAGGCAACAGAACTAAGATTAAGATAGCCTGACCTGTTGTCTTCCTACAGGGAACGTGTGAGAATACTGGCAAGAATGAAAGAAGAACTCAGAATAAACTGTGAGGGAGTATTCAGACTTTATGCTAAAGGCTAAAGAGCATTATTTAAAAATAATTACCAAATTGATGTAATAACATAAAGTTTCAGTTGCTTTAAAATATGAGGGCAAAGCCGGGCTCGGTGGCTCAGCCTGTCATCCCGCGCCTTTGGGCGGCTGAGGTGAGTGGATTGCCTGAGCCCACGGGTTCGAGACTCGCCTGGGCAGCGAGACCTCATCTCTACAATAAATCAGAAAATCAGCCGGGCGTGGTAGCGCATGCCTGTAATTCCGGCTACTCGGAAGGCTGAGGCTGAAGGTTCACCGGAGTCCGGCAGGACGAGGCTGCAGTGGCCAGGAACGTCTGGGCAACAGAGTAAGACTCCAACTCAAAAAAAAAAATGAGGGCTTTCTTCTTCTTCTCCTCCTCCTTCTTCTCCCTTCTCCCTTTTTTTTTTTTTTGAGTCAGAATTTCAGTCTGTCACCCAGGCTGGATTGCAGTGACACAATCACTCACTGCAGCCTCAAACTCTTGGGCTCAAGCAAGATTCCTGCCTCAGCCTCTCTAGTACTTGGAGCTACAGGCACACAGCACCACTCCCAGCTAATTTTTTGATTTATTGTAGAGACGTGGTCTTGCCATGTTGCCCATACTGGTCTTGCATTCCTGGGCTCAAGCAGTCCTCCCACCTTGGCCTCCCAACATGTTGAGATTATAGGTGTAAGCCACCATGCCCAACCTTATGAGGCATTTTTGAATTAGAATAATGTTTTTTGTTTGTTTGTTTTGTTTTTTGAGTTGGAGTCTCACTCTGTCGCCCAGACTGGAGTGCAGTGGCCGCTCCCGGCCACTGCAGCCTCGACCTGCTGGGCTCCGGCAATCCTGCCGCCTCAGCCTTCCATGTAGCTGGAACTACAGATGCGCCTGGCTAATTTTTTTTATTTATTGTAGTGATGAGGTCTCGCCAAGTTGCCCAGGCGGGTCTCGAACCCGCGGACTCAGGCAATCCACTCACCTCAGCCTCCCAGAGGTGCGGGATGACAGGCTGAGCCACCGAGCCCGGCAGAATAATCTTTATTGCTTTAATTTTGTATCAATTTATTATTATTCATATTTAGCTTGAAAGGAACAGAATTTTCCAGGTGAAGTAAAAGCAACTTTAAACATTATCTTTGTACTAGATTGCATAACTATAAAAATATTGAGTTTGCAGGATGGGTTTTAGGTCAGCTGAGGACAAAATTTTTAAGTTGTAAATAGGATTCTTTGTCTTCATTTATTTGAAAAGTTAAAGAATAAGTCTTTAGGTACATAATTTACTTGTAGCAATGTGAGAGCATAAATAAATACTTTAGTCAGATAACTTGTATGGTAAAATTGAGAAAGTGTATTTAGGAATAGTTCTCACTTGTAAATATTCCCTCTTTTTTATGTTTTCTTTTCCTTTTACTCTGATTGTACCTAGTGATCGGATAGTGTCTCTGAAAAATCATACTCTTGGTATTGGCCATCACCACCTAGTGGCTAAGTCTCTAACTCATATATATTTTTTGATAAATGTTCATTCAATGTCTTAAAACTTTCAGGGCTAAGAAGTTTTCTATTCCTGCTCTCTGCTTCTTCCCAAAAGAACTAGAGTGATCTATTATAACAGTATTTTTTTAAAAAGAAACATAAATCAGTCCTGCTTTCCTTCTTAACTCTTCTGTGACTTATTCTAATATCTGAAGCTGGGCATGCTGGCTTGTGCCTATAGTCCGAGCTACTTGGGAGGCTGAGGTGAGAGGATCACTTGAGTCCAGGAGTTGAAGTTCAGCCTGCGCAACATAGCCCAGACTCCACCTCTGTTGCCCAAGCTGGAGTTCAGTGGCACAAACATGTAGCTCATGCAGCCTCCTGAGCTCAAGTGATCCTCCTGCCTCAGCCTCCTAAGTAGCTGGGGCTACAGGCACACACCATTGTGCCTGGCTTATTTATTTATTTTTATTTTTGTAAATATAAGGTCTCCCTTTGTTGTCTGGCTGGTCTCAAACTCCTGGGCTCAAGTGAACCTCCTGCTGCAGCCTCCCAAAGTGCTGGGATTATAGGCATGAGCTACCACACCCAGCCATTCCTTATTATAGAGTCAGTGATTCTCAACTAAGGCAGTACATTAGCATCACCTAGAGAACTATTAAAACAAACACTTAGGTGTGGTCATACACACCTGTGATTCCAACTCCTTGGATCACCTGAGGCTGCTGTGGCTGTGAGCATGCCACTGCACTCTAGTCTAGGTGACAGAATGAGACTAGACAAGAATTTTACTCAAAAAAAATGCTAATGCATAGGCTCTGCCTGCAGGGATTCTGATGAAATTGATCTAATATGCTGTTAAGATTGATGAGAGGCCGGGCTTGGTGGCTCAGCCTGTAATCCCAGCGCTTTGGGAGGCCTAGGTGAGTGGATTGCCTCATCCCGTGGGTTCGAGACCTGCCTGGGCAACTTGGCGAGACCTCATCTCTACAATGAATCAAAAAATTAGCCGGGCGTGGTAGCGCGCGCCTGTAGTTCCAGCTGCTTGTAAGGCTGAGGCAGAAGGATCGCTGGAGCCCAGCAGGTCGAGGCTGCGGTGACCGGGAGCGGCCACTGCACTCCAGTCTGGGCGACAGAGTGAGACTCCAACTCAAAAAAAAAAAAGATTGATGAGAACCATTGCTCTACATTATATTGCCTACCTCTCCAATTATATGTCATATCACCATGCTCCAGTGATACTTTTTTTTAAATAAATTTTTTATAATATTGCTTTCAGAATAATCCAAGTTCTTCTCATGTATGGGACATTTGCACTTGCTGTTGCCCTTTTTCTTTGCATAGGCTGCGTCTACCTGTTTCTCAGGTCTCGACTTACATATCGCCTCTTCAGAGAGAGCTTTCTGAACCTCCTGTCTAAGGTAGCTTTACAGTCCCCACACCTGCCTGTCACAAAAGCCTGTTTCCTCCCATGAGACTACGTCTCAGACCCTAGAACTAGTGGATTTTGTTTGCTTGTATCTCCCATTGGAATGTAAGCAACGTGAGGGCAGAATCTTGTTTCTTTCTGGAATCTCCAAATACAGCAAGTGTTAGCACATGCTTGACAATACTTGGCAGCTGAGGGGACTGTTAGGAAGCTTCCTCTGCTGCTACACAGCAGCTCTGCTGGTTAGGAAATGCATTTCATGTGTTTCACAGACATTTTATTTTGCAGTAACTGCCCATTAATGTTAGACTTGCAATCTGAAATTTATAGAATAAGTCTGTGCCTGCTTCTGTATTACAGTTCTTAGAACATTTGATTAATATTCTTCTCTAGGTAACATCTCTTATTTTTTTATTAAGCATTCTGGTATAACAATTTCCCCTTTTTTCTTCTAACTACCATGGCCACTTCTGAGTCTGTGTGTTCATTAGTTAAACAGGCTGTGTGAATCATCAAGATGATGGATCAGAAAACCACATCTGCTTCAGTTCTTCTAGAAGCAATGCACCTCAGTGCTCTCATGCAACGGTTTTCAAACTTCTGGTCCTAGGACCCTTTAACATTCATAAAAATTATTGAGCACCCCAAAGAGCTTTTGTTTATGTAGATTATAGTTTATGTCTATAAATATTTTAAATATTATAAATCAAATCAGAAATTTAAAAATATTTATTAATTCATGTAATAGTAGTAATAATTATACCCATTGTATAGTTTCTATATAACATAAGTAATGTGTATCATGAAACAGCTATATTTCAAAAAAATAGTAATTTTGCTTATCTCTAATGTCTGCTTTAAAAAGATAGCTGGACTTTCAAATCAGCTTTTGCATGCAGTCTTTTATGGTATATTGTGTTGACTGACATATATACAGAAAATCTGACACACAGAAAATGTAATTTAAAAATGGAGGAGTAAGAAAAAAAGAAAATAATGTTTTTAAAAAAATAAAAGCTTTTTAAAATGGAGGAAAATTTTAATAACCTTTTCAGTTAATTGCGGATATTTTTCTTTGATACCACAAGTAGTTTCTTAAATGTTAGTTGCAATGTGAAGTCTGAAATTGATCTCACTGAACTCTTCATAGTTTATTTCATGGTCTATTATATTAAAATGTATTGATCTTTCCTACGTTTTGGATGTATCTTGGTTTTGTAACATGACATATTGGTTATTTGGAAAATATTGTTTCACTGAGCTTACAGATGTTGGCATTTTTCATTATATGCTATACATATTATAGTTGTTAATATTATTACCGATCTCATCGGAAAGCTCTTGGGAAGCTGTCAAGCTTACAGTAGCCAATTTACCAAAACTACTAATTCTTGCTAAAAAATCTCAAGTTGTTCCAGACATGGTGGCCCATTCCTGTAATCCCAGCACATTGGGAGGCCAAGGCGAGAGGATTGTTTGAGTCCTTTGACTCAAGGTGTTTGAGACTAGGATGGGCAACATAGTGAGACCTCATCAACACAAAAAAATTTAAAAATTAGCTGAGGCTTGGTGGCGTGCACCTATAGTCCCAACTACGCAGG